ATCAAAAAGTAATTTAGAATCGAAAAATACACCAAGATCCTTTACTGACTGTAATCTCTCTATAGTAGTGTCTTGTAATTTGTAGTGAAAGATAGTGGGATTGGGTTTACGGGTAAAAGTAACGATAAAACACTTGGACACATTCAAGTCAAGTTTATTGCGTGAACAATATCGTTCAAGTTCATTGAGATCACGCTGCAAACCAAGGCAGTCAGAAGTATTAGTAATGGGACATAAAATTTTCATGTCATCAGCATAAAGGATTATTTTGGAGTAAGTGAAGCAGGAACCTATATCATTTATGAAAATCGCAAATAGCAAAGGACCTAATAGAGATCCCTGCGGTATACCTGAAGGGATTTGCACAGTTGCTGACGTATACCCATTGAGTACTACTGTCTGACAACGATTCTCAATATAAGATTTAAACCACCTAAACAGGTCGCCGCTGATACCTACCTCGAGTAGTTTTCTGAGAAGTATAACGTGATCTAAACGGTCAAACGCTTTACTGTAATCAGTGTAGACTACGTCAACTTGTAAGCGCTCAGACATGATGTTAGTTAAATAGTCAGAACAGACAATAAGGTTCGAAACCGTGGATCTACCTTTTAAAAAGCCGTGTTGATAATCACTGAGTGTTTGTTTGATGCCATGATATACAGACGAGTATACGATTTTCTCAAAGATTTTGTTGAATAAACAAAGCTTGGATATTGGCCTATAGTTTTCTACACGGTCTTTTGGACCATTTTTATGGATGGGGGTAATAAATGCAGATTTCCAAATAAGAGGTACTATTCCTTCCTTGAGAGAACGTCTGTATATTATTGTTAACGGTATAGTCAAGCTTTTAGCACACTTACTTATAAGAATGGGTGGTATCCCATCTGGGCCTGCAGATTTATTAAGGTCAATCGAGTTTAAAAGCTTAAAGACTTCAGTTTCGCTAACTTGTATCGAGTTTATACCCGACACAGTATGTGATCGCCAATTATCGGGCTCATATCGGGTGTTATAGTTATTGCGAACTTTGTGAAAATTACCATAGAAAAAATCGCTAAACATATTACAAATAGTATCCCCTTGGCCTGATGATATGTGTCCATACTTCATTATAGATGGACAAGCGTTTGACGCTTTTTTATATTTCACGAAAGACCAGAAGGTCCTTGGCGATTTATTTATGCTGAGTTCTATCTTTGCTATATAATTGTTGAACATTTCGGCTACATACGCGGGGCATTTAATTTTATTCATCCTAAGTCCCCATCCCGGGGCCAGATCTACTAACACCAAATTACGTGAAATACTTATGAAGTCATTCAGAATAATCTTAAAACTATTAGCAAAAGATTTTTTACGATAGAGCCCGCATGAATGAATGATGTATAACCATTGATCACGTGCAAGTTGCCATGTAGTGGCTAGAATTCGCTACTCCATATTATTGCAGTTTAAGTTGCGACAAAGTAAAACTTATAAAGGTAGATAAGATATGGACAGCAGCACATTCCATAAAATAACTCAATAAAAAATCACGGTTGAGAATCTGACTATCTTTGGCAAATATCTTCCGTATGCGGGTGGAACACCGGTACTTGAAGTCCTTCAGAAGCTCTTCAATTCCGTCCTCCATGGTGGCACTACTCCGGAGGCGTGGAGCAGAAGTGCGGTGGTCTCGTTCTTTAAGAAAGGTGACAACGCTCTCTTAAAGAACTACAGACCGATTTCCCTTCTGAGCCGCGTCTACGTGCTGCTTTCGAGAGTTATTACGAATCGTCTCGCACGCAGACTCGACGACTTCCAGCCTCCCGAACAAGCCGGTTTCCGAAAAGGCTTCTGTACCATAGACCACATACATACCCTGCGGCAGATTGTACAGAAGACCGAAGAGTACAATCTGCCACTTTGCCTGGCATATGTGGACTATGAGAAAGCCTTTGATTCCGTCGAAATTTGGGCGGTGCTACAGTCCCTTCAGCGGTGCCAAGTTGACTGTCGGTATATCGAAGTGCTGAAGTGTTTGTACAGTAGGGCTACGATGGCTATCCGAGTACAGAACCAGAGTTCGAAACCTATCCAACTGCAGAGAGGTGTAACATAGGGTGACGTTATATCCCCGAAACTCTTCACCGCTGCGTTGGAAGACGTTTTCAAGCTACTGGATTGGAAAGGATACGGTATTAACATCAATGCCGAGTACATCACTCTCACATTCGATTTGCCGACGATATAGTCCTTATGGCAGAATCGCTGGAGGACCTTAGCACTATGCTCAATGACCTCAATGGTGTCTCCCAACAGATGGGTCTTAAGATGAACATGGACAAAACAAAGATCATGTTTAATGTCCATGTCATACCTATGCCTACCGGCATTTGTTGGGAGCACTAGAAGTTGTTGACGAGTACGTTTATCTGGGACAAATAGTCCGACTAGGTAAGTCCAGCTTCGACCGAGAGGTCAATCGACGGATTCAACTCGGTTGGGCAGCGTTCGGGAAATTACGACACATCTTCTCGTCAGGTATACCTCAACCTCTGAAAACTAAAGTGTACAACCAGTGCGTTTGCCAGTGATGACCTACGGAACCGAGACGTGGTCCTTCACTGCTGGCCGTATGAGGACGCTCAAGGTCGCTCAGCGAGCTATGGAGAGGGCTATGCTCGGAGTATCTCTGCGTGATAGACTCAGAAATGAGGATATCCGCAGTAAAACCAGAGTGACCGACATGGCCCAACGGATTAGTAAGCTGAAGTGGCAATGGGCCGGCCATGTAGCTAGAAGAACCGATAACCGATGGGGAAGAAAGGTTCTCGAGTGGCAGCCTCGTACCAGTAGGCGTAGTGTAGGGCGACCCCCAGTAGATGGAGTGACGACCTGGTAAGACATGCAGGAAGTCGATGGATGCGGGTGGCTCAGGACCGTGCTTTGTGGCATTACTTGGGGGAGGCCTATGTTCAGCAGTGGACTTGTGAAAGGCTGTAATGATGATGAAGATGATGAGGAAAGTCCATATGGGGGAACAGTTTTTTTATAGAATAAGGGTGACAAACGAGCACACAGTCCACCTGATGGTAAGTGGACGCTGTGGCTCATAGACATCTACATTTAACCTCGCTTAAGAATCTAAATGCAGATGCGTTGTCATCCTTGAGGACTAAGATGGAATGCCTCGATTCCAGTAAAACGGGTCCCCGGTTTTCTACACTCACCATACGAAACACAGCTGCATTAAGTTGCTATATAACACTGGTATTCTTTGAGACCCTAGTCGTAAATTGTGGATGCTGGGCCCCATAGACATCTACATTTTTCCTCGATTAAGAATCAAAACGCAGATGCGATGCCTCGTTTCCAGTAAAAAAAGGGTATCTACACTCACCATACGAAACACAGCTGCATTAAGTTCCTATTTTACACTGGTATTCTATGAGGCCCTGATCGTAAATAGTGGATGCTGTGGCCCATAGACATCTACATTTTTCCTCGATTAAGGATCAAAACGCAGATGCGATGGCTCGTTTTCAGTAAAAAAGGGTATCTACACTCACCATACGAAGCACAGCAGGTAGAGCCGACTCATTTGTAAAAAAGTAAAAGTAAAGTTACAGCCTATATACGTCCCACTGCTGGGTACAGGCCTCCACTCATTTATGAAAGGGTTTAGGGCATGGAAGTGTCCGCCGCGCTGCCCCAATGCGTGTTGACGAACTTCACATGTCTTCGAAATAATTCTTTTTTCTTATTCCTCAGACATGCAGGTTTCCTCACGATGTTTTCCTTCACCGCAGAGCACGTGGTAAATCAGCACTTAAAATTGCAATTAACAATGTCATTGGTGCCGGCGGGGATCGCACCCGGGTTACTCGCGTTCTGCTACAACCATAATATAGCTGCAGCGTGGCTCTACCACGTAAACGCCTTTTTGTTTAGAAATGGATTTGTAATGGGCTGTACCGAATTAATGGAAATTTGCGCACATTTAGTCCCCTTATTAATATTGGGTTATTCTCAATTTCATTGGATTGGTGGATATTGAACTTAAGCAATGTATGAACTTTTAAGTTGACAACTACTCCTGAGAAATCCGCTTATTTTAATTTTACATTGGTAAATAGTAAATATCGTAACAGTGTTGCCAAGCTGCTTACCAAGCGTGGCAACTATGGCAAGATCCCCCCATAAGGGAGGCCTAGGTTCAGCAATGGAATTTTAGATGTATTGGATGGATGGATGAAAGGGATGAAACGGTAATTTAATTCTGAAATCAATAATATTGGAAATAAAATCTTTAATATAGTTCTCTAAAGTATATTTTGAATTTTCCGTAGATAGACAATGGCGCTGTAAGTAAAACAAACTATATACAGCTTATTGAGTTTATTCCTAAAATATCAAAATACGATTACTTAAAAAATAAAATAATTAATTAAATAATTTCTAAATTTCAAATCTAATTTCTGCTGATTTCTATTACAGATTGTAAAATAAATGTACTGTACATTTTATATATTATATATTTAATTAAAAAAAAAACTATTCCTAAATACTTTTCCAACTAGCAACACTTAATACCAATTTCCTATTTGATTACAAGAAACAACTACGACTCGGAAATTGTGACAATTTTGTCTATCTAAAATATTGTTTATGTTTTTACTTCTACATGAAAAATAAACAACAACATAGAACGCACAATTCACTTTAAATAAATAATTTAGTTTTTGTATAGTTTGTTCTGTTTAAAGCGTCTAAAGCTGTAACTTGTAAAGGAAAAGATACTATAGCCAGTATTGAGTTATTTTCAAATTTTGAATGGTATATACCACAATTTCGAAAATAACAGACGGTTATCCAAATTAAAGCAACACAATTGGCGCTGGCCATAATTTTGTACTTTTCTTTTTTAGTTGATGTGTCATGTGTTATCAAATATCAATGATTTTGTAACATAATGCCAAAGAGAAAAGCAGTAACTTTGTGAAGTGTTGTGTTTAGTACGCGTGGTTTGCAACGAAAAGACCGGCTTCGGCGCCCACACCTGTTACAGATCCAGCCACGTATTTGCCCTGTGAAGCCTGGCCGTTAGCCTGTAAAGAAAAAAAACAGTGAATTAAAAATGCAGCAATTGAACACTTACAAACAGGACAAAAAATTACCATAGAGGGAAGTTAAACTGTAAAATGGTAGCATTTCAACAAATATAGAATGAAGGTATATGTGAATTTAGTACTAGCGTACACGTACACGGAACAAAATTCATTGCGTACAGAGTATAAATCATAGAGTGATCATTGTTCTACTTTTCTAAAAAAGAAGTAAAACTATATATTCCACACTTTACAGGCGGATTGATGGTGATATTTTTCAAACTGCCGTTTGCTAATTTGTTAAACACCTTCGGTGATAGGTCTTTAAGTTCCGTTTAATGTCCACAATAGTGTGACAATATTCCTGCACCTTATTTTACGACAACCATAAAGTGAAGTGTAGCAAACATCAAATGTAGGTAGGTTTTTAGAAAATAATATGTTTTTTATAGATTGATCTAAGGCTGTAGTGGTAACGTAAGACAATCCACTACTCATACTACCCGTCAGAGCGAGAGGCCACAGAGGGAAATGAAACAAAAATAGTCAGCAGCATTTCCGATTTCCTGATAACAAAGAGACCATTTCTAAACATAGGCCTCCACCATAGACTTTCATATAGGTGAGATATTTGCTATGGTTAGCACGCTTGGTAGTCGGGATATACCTGCAGTTTTTTCTTAATTTAAGTCGTTATTAGGAAGCCGGCGCTGCTCATCTCCTGATATGTTTCCCTCTGTCGCCTCTTACGACACCCACGGGATGATATGGGGTAGCAGATATTCCAACATAGCCACTAAATTAAATATTAGACGATAACAAATTAAATAATAGTAAAAAACTGGGCTTGCCAACTCAAGCGTGGCAACTATGTCAAATAATCCCTTAGAAGGCTACGCATTGAGGAATGAATTGATTAGTGAATAAGTGAATAGATTTATCATCTTAAAATATATATATTTTATAAGCAGACTTTGATGTACACAAACAAGAACTATTGCTTTACTTAGTTTTAAACCAAAAAGGTGTAAGCACATTTTACTATACAATCGCCGCCCAGTAAACGATCGCCTCGTGGTCGAAATACGGCCGTAATTCATTTTTATTTATTTAATCACTTAAAAAACCTGTATAACACTTTCAACTGCACATTAATATACAAATTACAAATATTTAAAAAAAAACACTTTTTACAGCTACAGATTGTAGAGATTATGTTACGGCAAAAACTTATGTTGAACAGGAACATTTGGAATCACTAAAAATTCACAGTTCGTTCAGTCAATATTTCAATATTTATTTTCTGGCAACATTTTTTATTTTTTTGATGATAATCTCTATCTATGCATGGTTATTATATACTCTTGTACTCTATTTTGTGCGACTGTTTGACTACAAATTATTATGTGTTGAATATTGGCATTATGAACGATTTTGTCGCACAATTATTTATGTATACATTTTAGCTTTCTGCACTGCTTTTCAAAAAAGAATTAAACTATGCCATAAAACACTTCTTCGTACATGCAATATGCTTAAAATCTATGAATATATCGTTAACATACCATTATTTACTTTGCATATTATAGTACGTGAAGGTAATATGGTCACTTTCTTATCACTCAAAAACTACAGCCTTGTTTGCGTAGATTTCTTTGTATTACGATAGCTCTTCATCTGTCAATCAACTAGGGCTGGAAGGGCGATGCTTTATGGACGCCATTTTGACAGATAACATTATGTTAAATATTTTAGTCGGTTTTAGTATGGTGTAGTGTAATTAGTTTTTTTAAGTAGATTTTTCGAAGTGTTCCTAATTATTGCCAAAGCTTGTTTGTTTTTTTGTGTTTTTTTTTTTAAATAATATATCAGTTATATTTATGCGACTTTGTGTTTTTGTCTCTGTCCTCCTCCTAGTTTTGGTTTTATAGGCGGCATAGCTTAAGGTGGCCATATTACCCTCACGTACCTTATAATATTATATCATGATCTTGTAAGGGCGGTGTAAGAATATAAGAATATCCACTGCCCCATATAGTCCCGTGGGTGTGGTAGAGGCAACAGAGAGAAACAAAAAGAGGTGAAGCAGCGTCTTCCAAATAACAATTTAAAAAAAAAACTCGCCCTCCAATCGTGGCTACTAAGACAATATGAGATAATTTAGGGGGCAGATCTTCGCTCAGCAATTTACTTTGTTGGGCTTTATTTATTGATTAAAACTACTTTTACGGATTTTATCGCGTTTTATTTATATTAATTTTAATACCCGACGTTTCGGGTGCTTTCCAACACCCATGGTCACGGGGGACTGAGGTGACTGACGTCCCGATGTCAAAGTTAACCCGGAGTACCTTCAGCGTAACCTCAGTCCCCCGTGACCATGGGTGCTGGAAAGCACCCGAAACGTCGGGTATTAAAATTAATATAAATAAAACGCGATAAAATCCGTAAAAGTAGTTTTAATCAATGTATAGTGTTCGCGTAAATATAAGAAATCATTATTGTTGGGCTTTAATTGAGTGAATTAAGGAATAAACTTTAAAGCAATACAAGTCAAATGTTATAAGCGTTTTCATCCTCGCTCGTCGCATATATTTCGCAATTCATTAGAACATTAAATGATGGCTACTGGTATTGGAATAATGGCAACGGATCTGCAAAACTTTTAGTATTGGTTTACTAATCGCGGCTATTATATGTCATTAGACTTGTTGTACCAGTCTGATAGAGCCACGCTGCGGCTATACAGGGTTATTTTTTCTAAGAGTAGCCAAATTTTAAACTTATATTTACGGTATATCATTATTTATATAATATATAAATAATGTATATAATATATAAATAATGATATACCGTTATAGCAGTTTTTAACACGAGTAAATACTCGTGTTTTCAAAAAGGCTTCTACTTGTATTTGATATTTTCCCAAATCCATTGTGATTTATGCGCTACAACGTTTTTGCCTACCGATCGATCCGGTTACTCGGTTAAAATCAGTTAAAATAATTTTGAATTTAAACGATAAAAAGGACAGAATATTTGGTATTTTTTAAATTTAATTTTTCTTATTATTAAAAATCGGTCATGGCCATATAATTATTCTGAATCTTTGTAAATTTGACCGGTTATTGTAAAATAACTCTGTATTATGGTTGTAGCATGAATGGGTCGGTTCGACCGGGGTAGATTTAAGATTTAAAGGCACGTGCATAAAACTGAATTATCGATGTAAATTTGCTTTACAATACCATAATTAAATTTTTAGAATCTGGATGGTTTTTTTTTTTCAAATTACATTTAGCTACAACTTACATACTGATGAAACATGAATAATATTTTTTGATGTTATTGACATAGGTAATAGAAAACCTGAACTGGTTGTTTGAATAAAAAATTATAAGTGCAACAAGTTTAATAAAAATTTTCGTATTTTTAAAAAATACGAGCTATTACGATGATTAATTAACACTGTGTCAAAAGTTACCTTCTTATATTGCAGCAATTTTTCATTGCGAAATTGAAAACACGGACAAAGACATTTTCTGAACATAAATCCTAGTTAAATCGATTTATTGCCCCCGAAACTCGCTGTATATATATATATATATATATATATATATAAACAAGAATTGCTCGTTTAAAGGTATAGGATAGTATTTTTGTAATGTGTTAAGTTAACAGAAAAATTTCTTAAAAATACCGAAAACATAATATCAAACATTTTCTAAAACTGAAGGCTCCATATTACTTTTACATAAATACCTATACTAATATGGCAACAGCAGCGTTATCTATACCCGTGCAAAATTATTTTTCTGAGGCCTTGCATCAAATTGTCAAGATTGATGTCAGTGATTAGTTAAATAAATATTTTTTAGGTAGTCAAGATACCCTTTTCTCGACACCATGTTTTAATGGTACACACAGTCCACCTAATCTGAACATTATGTGCAACATAACATCTGAAGATTATGTGCTGAAGACTAAAATTGAATGTCTCTTTTCCAGTAAAAAGGGCCTCCGGTTCTCTACGAAACTCCGTACTAGTACTCTGTCTACTCACCATACAAAGCATAGCATTAAGCTGTTTTTTCACGTTGGTATTGGTATATATGGTAGTCCTTCCCGATCAAGTCGGCCTTGACTGCTGTGTTTTGTATGGTGAGTGTAGAGAACCGGAGACCCTTTTTACTGGAAACGAGGCATTCCATATTAGTCCTCATGGGTGACAACGCATTTGCATTTTAGTTAGGATAGATGTAGATGTCTATGGTTCACAGCAACCACTTACCGTCAGGTGGACTGTGTGCTCGTTTGTCATCCTTATCCTATAAAAAGAGCAATTTGTACGGAACCTCAAAAATCTACTACACCTCTATGTCTATTTACTTTGGCCCTGCAATCGCTGTTGTACAACAGACTGTTTTTATTATTAATTTGTAGCCTATTTATTATTATTAATTTTAATTATCAGACTGATTTTATGTGATTAATATTTTAAATTGTTTAATAAAAATAATTTAAATATAACTCTGTAATCTTGGAGCTTTTTCAGTTTTATGGTAATAAATAGTAACCTAACCGTGTAGTGGATCTGTAAGAATATTTACTACCCCATATCGTTCCGTCGATGTCGTAAGAGGCAACATAGGGAATCTGAAACAGGAGACGGGCAGCAGCATTTCCTGACAATAACTCAAAGTAATTAAAAAAAACTGCGCTTGGCAACCCGCTTGCTTAGCGTGGCAACTATGGCAAATATGCTTTATGAGAAATCATTAGGGGAGGCCTTTGTTTAGCAGTGACCTATTGATAGGCTTTAATTGTAGTGGCGTTAACATTTCATGTACACATGTACATGACACCACTTATAAGTAAGCTGTGATAGACTAAATATGAAACGCACACGCTGGCGTACGTAAATCGACGTCTCCAAGTGGTAGGTTAAGGATATTTGAATCTGCTGCCAATCTTGTGATGAAATTGTAACGGTTTTTTAT